TATGTATGTATGTATGTACGTATATATATATATGTGTTGTGTGTGTGTGTGTGTGTGTGTGTGTGTGTATATGTGTGTGTAATATATATATATGTGTCTGTGTCTGTGTCTGTGTCTGAGTGCGTGTGTGTGTCTGTGTATATATATATATATATATATATATTTATGAGATAGTAGTGGGATATATTTTGTAAGTAGGCAGTATAATATAGTCGATAGAGGTTCTATGTAAAGATATGTAAATATATATATTCATACATTTATCATTTATAAGCGACGCCAGAAGGCTCGTGATTTGTACACAGATTTGTGTATAAGTTGTTATGTAGTGCACATGCATGTCTAACTGCGTGTACGTACATCTACGTACACACATGCATATGAAGATGTACAAAATCGTGCTTGATTCCATCGGTTTTGGCATAAATCTGAATTTTGTATTGCACCGGTGCACTGTTTTACACTGTTTTAGCTCTGATTTGTTGCTATTTGGCCAATTCTGAAGGGGCCCAATCAGATGCCTGTATATATATAGTTGGGTCGGTATCAATACTTCAGACCTAGTTAAGTACGTCATATACTGCTAGAAGCTGCTAGAGCTATCAAAGTGTTTGTCTAGTTATAACTTATTCATATGAATTATAGTTTTGTACGTTTGTATGTACGTTCGGAATACTCAACAACAACAAAATATTCAATCCCCCAACACTGCTGCAAGCCTAATAATCTTGAGCTATGCTTTGCCTTTTTAAGTCCCAATTCCAATTTCTGAAGTATCCCGTTTGTATACAGTCTGTATGTGTTAATTGTATGCAAGACAGAGAGTACGTCCCATATACTAATTCGTTCTCACAAAAGCCCTACACTGCTGGTGTAATTGACTGTGCATCACTATGCAATGAAAAGCACTTTTCTGAAACATATTGTCAGTTGGCACTAGAATGGTTGCTTTTTGGCTATAGGATTTTGGGGTTTGAGGTTTCTAATGTCAGTTGGTACTAGATTGGTTACTTTTGAGCTGTAGATCGCCTTTTCAACACCAGCCCCAATTTCTGAAACGTTACAATTGCATGCAGTCTATATAAGTACACATTCATGACCTCAATATCAGTCCAAGCTATCACTTTCCTCCTCAGTGTCATTATCGTATATATACATAGTGTATATATACTTTTCCATATATACATAGTGTATATATACTTTGCCATATATACATAGTGTATATATACTTTGCCATATATACATTGTGTATATATACTTTGCCATATATACATAGTGTGTATATACTTTGTCATATATGCATAGTGTGTATATACTTTGCCATATATGCATAGTGTATATATACTTTGCCATATATACATAGTGTGTATATACTTTGCCATATATGCATAGTGTATATATACTTTGCCATATATACATAGTGTGTATATACTGCCATATATGCATAGTGTATATATACTTTGCCATATATACATAGTGTGTATATACTTTGCCATATATGCATAGAGTATATATACTTTGCCCGTATACCTGTGCGTTTGACACATCTCTTCTATCCTGTGCGTGTGCGTGTGCGTGTGTGTTGCAGACCACCGGTAGACTACTTCCGAGCGACAATGGAGACATATGGCATTGACACCTACACTCAGACCTTCAACGTTTCTTATGCCACAGGCTGTGACACTTACGCGCAGGTGAGTGTGTGTGTATGTGTATTGTTAAACTATATCTACATGCATGTAGGGGATGTACCTACAGATATATTGTGTGAGCGTGTGTGTACCTGTGTCTTAGCATATGGAATGGTTGTCTGTATGTGGACTGTGCCTGTAACCATGTGTCATATGCCATAGATAGCACTTAGTTCAGTGGATGTTTAAAGTGCATTCGGGCGTGCCTCCTGTCGTACACGTACAATCTTCTTGGGAGTTGTGGTTCTGACTACCACCCGTGTGAGGAATAAATATAGTATGTTATGGTCTAGAAGTAGGTATAATATATTATGGTTTAAAAATCGGTGTAATAAATTATGGTCTATAAACAGATATGATAAATTATGGTCTATAAATAGATATGATAAATTATGGTCTATAAATAGATAAAGTAAATTATAGTCTATAAACAGATATGATAAATTATGGTCTATATCTAGATATGATAAATCATGGTCTATAAATAGATATAATAAATTATGGTCCATAAATAGATATAATAAATTAGGGTCTATAATCAGATATGATAAATTATGCTCTATAAATAGATATGATAGGTCTAGAAATAGGTACAATAAATTATGCTCTAGAAATAGATATGATAAATTATGCTCTATAAATAGATATGATAGGTCTAGAAATAGGTACAATAAATTATGCTCTAGAAATAGATATGATAAATTATGCTCTAGAAATAGATATAATATATTATTATCTATAAATAAGTATAGTTATTATGGTCTATAAACAGGCATTCTGAAGCCCCCCTTATTGCAGTCAGTAGCCGGGTTAAGACTCGTGTGCTATTATTAGACGTCCAATCGTTTGCTTGGCCTATCCTGCTACAGGTAGTAACTGGGGTGAACACGTATGCTATTTTTAGACCTCCGCGAGCAGATGGCAAAGAAGCCCTTCTGCTGAATGTGCCGTATGGTCTACTCAATGGTAAACGAAATGACCATGCATTGAGCCTGTCTATGGCACTGATGGTTATTCTTTACAAGTATGTAAGTACGCACGTCCGTGTAAGTTATTTATATATATATATATATATATATATATATATATATATATATATTAA